CTGCACGGTGACACAGAATTTCTCAGCGCATTCCGGCCGCGCGGAATCGCGGCCCTTTCTCGTGGCGGAGAACGCGAGCCTGCTCGCGCCGTGGCTATTTTTCGCGCGCTCGCAGCTCCGTGCATTCTGTCCCGATCCGCGCTGAATCGAGTCGAGTGGAATCGAGTGGAGTCGAGTGAAGTCGAGTCGAGATCCCGAGATCGATCGCCACCGACCCGGCGATCTCGAACGGTATAGGCGAATGAAAGACGAGGGGCAAGGGGGAGGAAAGGCGAGTAAAAGGAGAACGGGGGGAGAGAGATGAAGAGAAAGCCGCAATTCACGACCACCCCGAGGACGCGCCGATCCTACGAGATTCGACACGATGCGCCGTGACGCGACGGCCATTTTTTACTGGCCCACTCTCCGAACGGCGCGAAATTGGTAATTAATCCCATCGTCTTTGTTGCATCCAGAAAGAATCGATTCCGCTGCGTAACGCAGCAATTTCAGGCCGCATTAAATGTGCCCCGTGTGTGGACGATGCAGAATGTTAATTAAACCGAGTTGCTGTCTCATTCGGCCGCGTAACGCCACCCTGGCGAGCGCGCGCATCTGTCACCGGTCAATCGTGCGAGCCACGAAAACCGACCACCGGTTCCCGCAGGATCGGCTAGACCAGGTTCCTTCGCGTCTACCCTGCGTCGGGATAACGCAACGCTTTCGACGCATACGGGCCCTCTCCCCCCAATTTCCGTCCCCCTTGCGGCAGTCAAATTCTTCGCCGGTTAAAAGTTGCCGGAACATTCGTTAGAAAGTTGAAAAAGCAAGCAGACGCTGTCTGTCAGCGCGGATGCTCGCGATAACGCCGCAAAGTGCCGTTTGGTCGATACCGTACCTTGCGATTCCGCGTTTTAAATTCCCCTTGACACCGAAACTCGCGCCCGCGCGTCAATTTTCGGCGAAAAACACGCTCACGGAAAGGTTATGCACCCCGAATGAAAAATAAAGTTAGACGTCGCGTCAGGCTTCTCGCTCGGCGTGCCAAAAGGATCCGAGTAGCGCGGCGATAACGAGACGCCTAATCGACGTATATACCACGAATTTGACGTGTCCGATCGATCCAGCCCACGTTTGGCCAAGATGGCCGCCGGTGTTCAATATTTATCGAAGGGCTTACAGCGCCATCCGGATACTTTTCGCGTTTCATTATCTCGGCAATCGTATCGCGGCGCTGGCCAGGACGTTACACGCCGATAAGACCGTTCAGGGGTAACTCGCCACCGCCCTGCTGGTCGTCAGTTGCCCGACGGACTCGCCACCCGCGACTTCGCCAATCTACTCGCTGCGCAAGCACGCTTGGTAGGTGCCAAAAATTCCCACCTCCTCCTTCGTCATTCCCACTTTTCTTATTCTCTCGCGATCCACGGACTGTACGTCGGCTCGTAGACCGATAAACGATCCCGTGCTCGCGGTGCCAAGCTTGGATCGATCCAAGAACGATCGAGCAGCTTCGAGATTAATCTACCCGACGCGCGTTCTTCGCGGAATTTTCGCGACTATCGTGGATGGACGACTCGTTTCTCGCATGCGTCAACGGTATCATCGATGGATATGGCGCGTGGCCTAATCGGACGCATCCGCCCACGGGGAAAGTCTGACGTGCGTTAAAGAATCGTAGCGATAATAATTTTCGCGGGCGGATCCGTGACGCACTGGCGAATCGGCGGCCGTCACAGGGGTCTCCGCGAGGATCGGTGTCGTCACGAGCTATCCGCGTCGAAATCGCGGCGGTGACGACGGGACGAGTCGGTGTGCGTGCTACACCAGGTACATATACGCGATCGCGGCATGTGCACCGACATAGCTGCAGTTCGTTCGCCTACGAGTGTCGTATCGTACCCTCGTAAACATTTATAGAGCTGGTTTCTATTCTCCTTCTCCTACGGCACTGCGTTTCGTTTCCACGCTGGACGCGCTCATTGTCGCGAGAAACGACTACTATGCGAGCCTTCGCGGAAAGTTAACCGGGCGGGGACCGATCTTCGTCATCGACCAGCCTCGCGCAGCGGACTGTGACGCGGGGTCACTATCCTGTGGCCCAAACGACGATTTTCACGAATCACCTAGGAATAACTAGGGGAAGTTAACCCTTTGACTAAGGCAGACTTTGAAACGCATCGGTCGCACCATACGGTAGGAATCCATTTGCAATGTACACCAAATTCGGTGGAACTTTTCGTTAGGTGTGCATTTCTAAGCAATTATTGTATATTCAAATATTACCGTATTAAAACTTTATTTGTGTTTTTTTATTTTGCAGTAAATTGTTACTGTGCGTATTTAGGATTTAACAGGCGTAGAAATTTTTGAGCGTCTTTAGACGCCCATAGCAGTAGTCAAAGGGTTGAAGACGCTTATGGACCAGGTGTGGATGACGCTGGTCGCGAGTGACGTAGACCACCCGTCGAAGTATCGCGCGTATATTTAATTCGAGAGACGTCGTGACGCGAAATCAGTCTGGTTTGTTCGCGGTATCGTCGCGGAAACGATTTTTGGCAAATCCTCGTGCTAGGGCTACGATTCTTCGCGAGCATTTGTCGCCGAGAACTCGGAGTTTTCCTCGGTTCGGAAACCGGACACTGGGTGGTCGCCAACTGCACCCATCTCGGACTCACCTCCCGCTGCATAATAATCACCGTGCTCTCGAACGGTCTCGCGGGAGACGTGGTTGCGCTCGCTCCCGGCGTGGAAACGAATTTCACGCTGACTCGCCGCGCTGATCGGGACCCAAGTGCGCGTGACAAAGCGACGAGAATCGGGACGCGGTTCCCGAGGGAACATCGAGGATCACCCCCCGACGAGAGGTCGCGCGACATCTCGAGCAATGTCCTGCCAGAGACAGCGGAGCGTAGCGTCGCATTTCCTGAGGAGCACCAGAAGACTGATCACGGTAAGCTGTGTCGCTTGCGTGTCTTGCCGAATGGGGAATGAAATTTCGTGCAACCTCTGCCCGTGTAATTCGGAGATGCTTCGCGGAATTTTCCTACGGTCTCTGCCGTTTCGGCGAACGACTACGAAACGGACAATTGATTCCTCTTTATTGCCCTCTTCGGACATTCTCCCCGTTCGCTCGCGTTCCTTGGCATGACATAGCGTAGGAACGCAGATATATATCTGCGTTTCTCGGCCGTTGGCAATTGGCCCAGTTACTAATGTACATCGGCAAACGAATGACGCGTGTCTTTTCTTCACGTGATGCTGCGCCAGTGACGCAACGCTCGCATATAACCGTAACATGTGAAACAATGAGAAAGATTCACGCTGCGCAGTCTAAACAAGCCCCGGCTGTTCGTCTCGTAGTTTGCATTTATCTAACCGCTCCCTCGAGCAGATAAAAACCTCCTGTCTACGCGGTTTAGACGCGTGTGAAAGCAACGAGGAATTATCTGGATTAAAAGACGCGTCGCGGATTTTTGTGACATCAACATTGCGAACCTTGACACTTCGTCAAGGGTGAAGTTATCCCTTGACCCTCCGACGAGGAACTTTTTTAATTTTAATTTTTCTTTCGCAAAGTTAAGCCTTTAGCTACTATGGGTGACTGTAGTCATCGGCTAGGAGACGCCATTTACGCACGGCGGGTGACTATAGTCACAAAAATTGAGTCGAAAATCAAAAAAGACTGTTACTGTTCCACTTAGCTTTCTTTGCAAAGAATTGCAAGCTCAATTGCGATGATGGGTTTTTCCTTTTCTTTTTTCTTTTTCTTCAAAAGACTTGGCCCCCAAAAGATACTAAAGACTGCACGATCGTAATGTTCCATCTTTGACACGAAAGAGTTAACATATTTATGAAATTCCAAATTATTATATTCGCGTAGATTTTATATAAGTGCTGCCCCACTGCATGGGATCGTGTTTTCCTATCGTTACCGGCGATATGCGGAAAATACCGAGTCCACGTCTGACATGTCCGTATGCCAGCGCTAGGGGTTAATTTAGACAATTACAGTACAACGTTTCGAAGACGAGCCAAATCGTGTCAACTCTGACTATTCGACCAATCACCGCGAATATTCTAGTAACAGAGCCATCGTCCACGTTTCAGGAATCGCCATAGCGATGCCGTCCATGACGAGACGCTCCGGAGCTACCCCTGTCAAAACTTCCAAGTTAACCTCTAACACGTTGAGCTCGGCGTCGGTCTGTGGGACCGACAGTATCAAAGTTAAAAAATAAACGTAGTAATTTTAATTACTATGTTTTAATTACCATGGCGGAGAAACGCTCTAAACAAAAATATGGTTTGCTTTTGCATGTATCGCAAAACGTGACGACCCTTTTAGTCAAACTTTTGGCTGTCTTGCGTCCGAATAGCGTCGAATTTTTGTCGTAACATTGGAAAGGACAGCAATATTTTATCTTTTTGCATTCGGCGATATTTTTAAAACGGTAAATAAGAAATTCGTACAGAAATTGAGACATAGAATTATTTTACTTCGACATTCTACGTATCGTTGGATAATTTTAAATTTGATATATTAATTAACATCGATTTTTAGAATCTAATTAAATTGCTACTGAGGGTCGCTTCTCGAGTGCAAAAGGTTAACTCTTTGCGGCAAGGATAGAAATTTTATTGCGTTTTAAATGAAACAAAATTGGTATATTTTTACTAATAGAGGAATCACATAACGTAAAAACATAAAGAAATAATAATTTAATTGAATTTGTCGTTATAGGGTGGGACTCAAATAGTCCCAACATCTCATATTGAATATTGCCAACACAAGCGAATACATTTATAACATTTATTGAAGATATTACCAACTGTTTTACGCACATAAGACGAAGTATAAACCTATGCGCATGCAGCTACTGCAGTATTTCCACCATGCATTATGGTGCGTCGAAAAGCTGTGACACTTTTAACCCTGTGCACTCGAGAGGCGACTCTCAGTCGCCATTTAATCAGATCCTAATTATCGATGTTAATTAATATATTAAATTTAAAATTACTCAACGATGCCTGAAATATCGAAGTAAAATAATTCTACCTCTTAATTTGCATACAGTTTGTTATTTACTTAAAATAATTTAATAATGTAATGTAATATAATATGTAAAAAAATATCGTCGACTTTATGGCAGAAACTCTTCGAATTACTATATTCCTGTAACGAAAAAATCGCCAAGTGCAAGGGGATAATCCGAGCGTGTGTCAAAGAGTTAACTGTCGAATGACGAAGTCAACGATCATGTATAGCACGTGATCGCATCGCGATCTAGCCACGAGTACGACGGTAAACAATGAAACGCGCAGGCAATAAACTCGGCGTGGTTTATCCGCGAGATACGGATACGTTGAGCTGGAAACCGGGCAGAAAGAATCCGCCTGAAATACCATCGCCACGATCGCGATTAGATCGCGCCTACGTCGTTCGCTATCGGGGAAAAATCCAGTTCTCGCTAAGTGCTTCGCGACCCTTTATCTGTTCAACCGGCGCATTATCTGCAAACAAACAGCGCAGATACGCGGCAGCTCGTTTCCCGCGAAAACGGCGCGAGATTCGGGCCTGGATTGATCGATTTGCGAGCGTGTTCGCGGCGGCGTGAGCAACCCCGAGACCGGCAAGACACGCGCCATTGTCCCTCCCTTGTCGTCGTTGGCACGCTGCCCGATCGCCGATGTACGACGTAGGCGAATAAATCAGCCGCGTGTCGTTTCTTCGCGTGACGATCAGCCGCGTGACGTCACGACGGACGTAGACAGGTATTTTCCGGCCAGCCATCGGGACCAAACTCGCAAATATAGCCGCGGCACTGGGTCGGTCCATTCTCGAATTTCGCTCCCGTGACGCGACATTGCGAGATTCAGACCTGATCGATTCTCTGCGATTGTCGCGGTGTGCGTGTTTTACGTATTGCCCTCGTTAACGTATTATTGACCGATGACGAGTTAACCCTTTGACAGCCACCATTTTGAAATGACGCGTTTTTCGGACGCCAGGGGAGTGCACCGCTGGATGCAAGATTTGTTCTAATAAAAATTTGTAATTGTTCAATGGGGCACTTTTTATTTCAAAGTATCTTCTAATTAGCGGTTATATTCGAAATGCACTAACTGTCAATTTTCATTCAATGTAGTTCAAGTGACTGGTCATATATGACCGACATGGCAGTCAAAGTGTTAACCCATTTGCATCCAAGCGCGGAATAATCCGCGAGACCGCGACTGTCTCTTATCACTGAGCGCGGAATAATCCGCGAGCCCGTGACTGTCCTCTATCACCGAGCGCGGAATAATCCGCGGACTGTGTCTTTCTTTCATCATCTGTCGCTGAATATTTTTCTTCGTCATCCTTGCACTCTGTCTTGTTTCACTTGCATTCGGCTCTGTCATAAACATCCCTTACATTCGATCTTCTTGCACCCGGTCACTTTCGTTCTAAACCCAAACACTTGTCATTCTTTCAGAGTCATACTTATTCCTTTTCTACACTATTGTACACAGTTTAAGGCTAGTCCAATTTTACAATTCCATGACAACGCTAATACTCTGATAGTGACTCTGACGCTCTGACCAGGAGCTCTAACTCTTTACATACACTGGATATCACTCTGGACATTCGAGCCCAACCCGAGGTCGCTATTTATTATCCTTTATTTTCGAGGAATGGTCCAGGGATTTTCATGCAATACGTTAGAATTAAGATCACACATTCATTCGTCTCATTTTCGCTGTTGACCCCTAAAAATATTTTACACAAGCTTGCATATAATAAAGTTTCTACTAGGTTGGTACTAGATGTAAATTCAAAATATGTCGTAAATGGTTTATAATTAACGTTTATCCTTACCTGGGTAAAGGTGAAACGCGAACTTTGGCACCCTTGGACCGCAACTGCGTCGCTGCTCTGACGGCCAGCCGCGGATTTAATCAGGCGCCATTTAATTTGCCACGGTAAGCGCCGATCGAGCATCCGGATGGCAATTACGACGATCATCGTGATCGTTGAAGGCCAACTAGGCGACGGTTATTAGGACGCACTGACAGCTCCGTCTGCGAGCCGATTATGCGTCCTTCCAATTGCTGGAAATCGTCGTCCGGATTGTAAACAACGCGATCGTTACGCGCGTTACCTCGGACAGCGTTGAGCAACGGTGTCGAACACGCGGTACACGAGACCTTGGAACGTGGTGGACCACAGTTTCCAATTGGTTTAACCCCTTGTACTACCAGTTAATTCGAGAAACTCGTGCGTTGGAAAGGTATTTAATTCGGTCACCGTGTATCCGTAATCTGGTCAAATAACCGGTGAGTGAGAAAAGGAGAGGAAAATTTGTAGAAATTCATCGTACGTGTAATAAATTAGAGGAAAAAGCAGGAAGACGAGTGAGTATAGAGATAGCATCGAATGCAGAATTTCTAATGGTAAAATTTTATTCGTCTTCCTGCAGTTGGACATGAGAATTATGATACTCTATGCGGTCGTTATTTTATATTTAATTTTTCGAAAATACGCGAATAACGTCTTCCTCGGTGGCCAATTCTGCTTCGTTGATAGATTCCTCGCGTGGTCCATGTGACTTTGCGAAACTGCGTTTCGTGGCCCACGTCTCTGCGTAAGTTTGTCACCGCTGACGTAGAATCGCGGGGAATAGATCGGAACTGCGAACTCACCCCGAATTCTCCGATCTAATATTAGAGAATGGCGTCAGTAGTAAAAAATTGGAAATATAATTATAGCCGTGCGAAGATGGAATGGACCGTGGAATTATCGCGTTTTTCGAAGCGCGGCCATTCGGCTCCGGCGTTGTACGTCACCGGTGAACTACGGCACGCGCGATATCGCCGATCGATCTGCAATTGCGCCGAACGCACCGATACGGCGGTAATCGCGCATGCGATCGGAAAAAACGCCAGTACCGACGTTACGCGCGGAAGACT